TAACATTTAAAAGTAGCATTTTAATTTAAGTGTATTCAACTGTTCTCTGTAATCACTTTTTACCGAAATAGTGCTAATTCTCATGCTGATGCGTTGCCGAAATCTGAGCCGGTTGAAGGACTGCAAACTTTAGACCGCGGCCTCGCGTTTCACTCATAGCTGAAAGATGCCATGACTGACTCCAAAACCTGCCCATAAACAAACAGTACTGAGATTAGAGAACATATTTTAACATCAAATTAAATTAAACTCAGTACTATAACGAATAAAATCCATTTATGTTATGCAAGGCAAAAGGCATTTCCATCATGTGAAATGACCTTATGTTGCGTTGGGTAAAATAATACAATTTACAGCACAGTAAATAATTTATAAATAAAATAAAATGTATACAAACATTTACTTCCCTGAAGAAGTGCACCAAATTGGCGGTGGCGCTGAGAACCGCTCTCCTGTAGACTCAAAAAGCCCGTGCTCTGACTGTAACTTAGCAGCTGGGTTTGTTTAATCGGAGACAGGCTCAACCCAGTGGTTGGGCAGAAAAAAATAACCCAGCAACTTAGTTACAGAAAAACTACCCAGCACCTGGGTAAAAAATATTAAAAATAACCCAATAAAATTACCCAACAAGTTGAACCCAGCATTTGGGTTAAAAAAAATAACCCAGCACCTGGGCAAAAATATTAAAAACAACCCAATAAAATGACCCAACGGGCTGAACCCAGCATTTGGGTACACTCTAAAAAATGCTGGGTTAAAAAGGGACAAACCCAGCTATTGGGTTGTTTTGACTCAAAACAAACCAACCACTGGGTCAAAACAACCCAATAGCTGGGTTTGTCCCTTTTTAACCCAGCGTTGGGTTATTTTTAACCCAGCATTGTTTAGAGTGTAAAAAAAAAATAACCCAGCGTACACTAAACCTAAACGACAGTACTAACAAAAGCAATTGTGAGATTAAAATGCATTTGCTGAATCTACCATGCCATTTTAACTTGCTTCTACAAGTCTTTGAGCTCTTTTATCATGACTTGTGTTTCATGGGACTTGTACCTGAGCGCTTCACATCATAAGTGCAATGCTGTACCAGGTGCGCTACCGAGCAAGTATACAACATCAGAAAAAGCATACAAATAGAGATGGTTGTGTGATATAGATATGAAAATGTGTTAATTTACTATGGTGGAAGTATTTTGAGGTTGCAACATAGTATCTCGCGAAGTATCATGCAAAAATAAGTCTTTATTAATGGATCATCTGACCCTGTAACCATAATCTGTGTGAACAGGAATTAAAGTTGTTGGTGATTTACTGCCAGTAGTCTTAATTTCAGATGGAAACTGCACTAAATTGTATGTATAGGTACTTTTTTGGAGTGGTAGAGTAGTAAATGTCCATTATGGTACATATGCCTCTATGCGTTTCTGTCCTTGACTAAGAAGAGAAGAAAGTTTGCTGGGTAGTTGATGGTTGTGCATTCTTCTGCAACGCACAACCATCAACCATGAGTGGCATGAAGTCGGAGCCTAAGTGCAGTTTAATAGTCATAAGAACCAACAAAACTGTTAAAGCTATCTGCATTCATTTTTACGGCTCTACACTTACTGTATGCAACAATTATCTCATTGATCTATTTTTTAGGACTTTTGGAGAAACATCTGAGACAAAGTCTTCTAAAAAGAACAAGTTCTGAACGAAAAAAAAAAATTGCTCTGGGCTATAGTGAGAATTTCATAATGATTGTAACAAAGCCTCTGAGATTTTGTTTGGGGAAAATAAATCGCAAATGTCTTTCCCTAGCAAAATGTTTTGGACAATTACACGGCTACATATTTCATTTATATTTTGAACACAGACTGAAAAATGTCTGTTATGCAATGGTAGCACAGAACCCAAGACACTGTACTAGTATTACACTCAAACCCATGCTGTTATATAGTGTATGCGTATTACAGCTTGTGCAGCATGTTATATAGCCAACATGTTTTTATACCAGTTTTAGGTTCAAAGTGAATAAATAAGCTACAACTCTCAAATAACAGGCAAAGTTACCCCAATAAGAAACAGACATATGGATATGAGGAAATTATAACATTTATAAGACTAGATGACTACTATTTTTCTACTGCTAAACTAATAGTAGTTGTCACACTAATTTAGTTCCCATTGCTTGTACATGTATAAGCCCATCCTCTCTGTGTAGTCTATGTCTTCCGTTACTTGTTCTTTAAAACACTTGTTGAGTTGTTGGCCACTGTGTCACCCCACAAACTGAATACATTTCATGTTTCCTGACATTCCTTCAGCTTTAATGAATTAAGTTCAGCTCTACCGATCCAATCAGCAGATTTCAGGTCATTATGAGGAATGCACTTGTTTTTCATACTTCAGCCTGAAAGCACATTACAAGCAGCACTTGAGATAATGTTTGGATGTTTCTCAGGTGAGCAAAACTCGCAGTCAACCCTCCCCGGAGGAGGTTAAGTGTAGAAAGCAGGTTGCCATGGCAATCCTTGCTGCTAGAGAGATGCCAAAAATAAAAAAGCTGAAAATTCTAGGTTAGTGCATCCCTGACTGAACTGACATTACTATGCTTATTATTTTATAATGCCATTTTTTTAGACTGTTTTATAGCTTCCAAGTATTTTACCTCGCTTGCAACCATCTTCTTATCTGACAAGAATGGTGAAATTGGCCCTCTGGTTGCGTAGAAAAGTAATAGCTCGGTTTTACTCTACAAGCTGCATGAGTTGAGGTATCATTCATGTCCGTAGCACAGCCAGTGCAGACTGCTTACTGTAATTGCAACATTTTAAGACTTTTGTTCAAATGATAAAATCTGATCATGATGCTCATTAAATGTTATAAAAAAAATAATTGGATATTCTTACATGCATGTCCATGGGCTGGTTGGCTGGTTGCCCCCTCGTTTATTTTTATTATCACTTAAAATGAAAACAATAAATGGACATACTTCATATACTAGTGTCTTTAATTATGCACTTACATTTTAATTAATTATTTGATACAATGCACTTATTGTGAACATACATGTTTTACATTGTCCTTAAATTTAAAAATACCTTTCTGTAATTACATCTCTAATTAACTTATGTAGTTACATCTATACTTACACTGTCAACCCTACCTTAACCCCTTAAACCTAATCATACTAAACCTGTCTCTAAACTTACCTCTGTCACCCCTCAATAACATCAAAAGTGTTTTGCAATTCAACATGAACACAACAGATACATGTACCTTAAATATTTTTGGCAGTAAGTGCACAGTAGTTAAAAACACCCACATATAAAGCGGGACCCAATAAATTAAATAATTTGTCATTCGTGATGGACGCCACCACTGTCAATCTGTAACACCCACGTCTAAAACACACCACAGAGATGTGAGTCCCATCCAAATTGCATCTTAAATGTTGTTTAGAAAACTAGTCCTGTCCAAGTATGGCTTTAGTAAAACATAAAAGATCATATTACTGTTAGTTGAGAAAAAAAAAAAGATTTAGAAAAAATGTTTTGATTCAACTTTAAATTTATTACACATAAACCGTTAAGGCTGCAATGTCGCCATAACATTAAAATGATTTTACATTTTTATTTTATTATTTTTTTTAATGAAATGATACTCTAAATATGAAACTAAAAAGTCATTGCTCAATGACACAAAGGCACTGTCTCAATGAGTGAGTCGTTGAGTCATTCATTCAATCGATTCATTTAAACAGCTGATTCATTCAGAATCAAAGTGACTGTCCTTATGAATGGGTCACTGAATCATTGACTCACCTGATTCGTTCAGTAACGTGGAATCATTGAGTAACAAAACGCTGCTGTGTGTTACTCAAAGGCACATTCAGTTCAATTTATGCTGGCTTACTTGAATGTGCTATTCGGGGTGGCACCAGTTAGTAATTAATAACTTAGGTTGGTGGACAGTGAATGACATGTTGGGTCACAAAGCTTTTACAAGCGAACCGCACTGCTGGTTCTACGGACATTGTCAGTTCATTCAGAGTGTTCACGCATGATCCAAAATCTGTGTAATCAGTGCTGACAGGAGCTAAAGCAATACAATACAGCTATAGTGAGTCTGTCAGTGAAGATATGCACACTTCATCCACTCACACACTCTCCATTAATGCAGCACTGACTCATTTACATAAGCTAAACTGAACTGGTCAACTGGCTCACTAGTCAACCTAGGTAGTATGCATTTAGTCAAACAAGTCCATATACTGATACATAAACATTTATGTAAACACAGTGTATTTGCAGTATTAATGCAGGCAGGTGTACAAGATTTTTGTGTTAATTAAGTGAAGTGTACACTACAGTGTGTCAGTCTTGAAGAGGAGAGTCTTCAAGGTTTAGATGTGAACTTATTTAAATTCAGTAATTCTCATTTTGTCACGTCAGAGATGAAGATGCATTGATGCATTTTTTTTTCCACTGATGTAATATTTGCCTTGACCCCTGTGCCATTACTCCATTCGAGTATATGATCCTGGCCACCATCATAGCCAACTGCATCGTTTTATCCCTGGAACAGCATCTTCCTGGTGAGGACAAGACGCCTATGTCCAAAAGGCTGGTAAGCATTACAAACATAAATCTATTCATATTTTAAATAAACATAACTGAACTAAATTATTGGATTCCCAGCATCCAGAGAGTACAAAAAAAAAATGCATACTGTTTCTCAGAAGATAGTGGCAAACGACAGCACTGGGAAATCTCCTGTAGGAGAAAAAAAAGAGAGACCCGTAAATCCGTGGCCACGGTTTTGCAATTCGCCCCCTCAGTTTATAAACCATACTCACAAATTTTTTGAAATCCATTCCCATGTTAATGCATTAAGACAGTGATAATAAAAGACCAATCTCAGTATACATCTTACTAATGCTACAAACTATATACAGGCAAGCTGATGTGGACAGAAACACTTAATGTGGCTTAAAGGACAAGACAGTGATATAAAAGTATGCAGTTTATAAAAAAAAAAAAACTATATACAGACAAGCAGATGTGGCCAGAACATGAATGCAATGCGCTGCATCAACAGTAAGGAGTATACTGAGTTTTAGTATCACTATCTGAATGCATTGAGCCACGTTAAGCGTTTTCTTTATAATGATTTTCTATGATAGGAAAATGCTTAACATGCAATTTTGCACATTGCATTAATATTCTGCCCACATCTGCTTGTCTGTATATAGTTTGCAACATCAGTAAGGTGTATAGTGAGTTTGGTATTTTGCTATCACTTTATTTTGTGGCGTTAAGCGTTTTCTTTACAGTTTTCTGTGGGGGAGTAAAAGCTTAACGTGGATTAATCCTTAATGGATTATGGTGCCATTGTCTTAGAATTAGATAGCGTTTATGATGAGAAATGTGAAATAAATTTGGTTTGGTTTGATGAATAAGGATTCATGTGTATTTAATTTATACAAAGAAATATATCTGCTTAAAAGAATGAAGAATGATGTATGCAATTTGTTATAAAGTATGCATACAATACATAACAACTGCTTGTTTACTGAAAAGAAGACCATGTTCTTGTTTCTTTATGACAGTGAAGAATATAAACCTAATGTCATGTCTACAAACCTTAATGTGATTCATATTACAGTTTGATATCAGTATAAAATCAAAACTAGAATGTACATTTCTCTATTTATATTTTCTATTGATTGTTTTGTTTAATTATTTGATCTGTTTCTTTCTCATTGGGTCCATTAGGAGAAGACCGAGCCTTATTTCATTGGGATCTTCTGTTTTGAGGCTGGTATCAAGCTGGTGGCGCTCGGTTTTGTTTTTCATAAGGGTTCCTATCTCAGAAACGGCTGGAATGTAATGGACTTCATTGTTGTGCTAAGTGGGTAAGTGACATTTATATTTTCTTTCTCCTCACTGATTTTTGATACTTCATTGCAGTGAATAGTTTGAGATTACAGGCGTGTGCTTCCCTTCAAAACATGGCTATGGTAGGCATGGCCTGTAGTTGCTATCTGCTCCTCGATTTCTGCTTGCACAGTCAGAACTTCCCCAAGCACTTCTCCACTTTCTTAAGAGGGCGAGGAGCGTTTCTGCTGATCTTCTATCATTCAGTTCTGATTGATGGAGCAAGCCTGTTCATATGTACTCTTCAGGCAGCTCTGTATCCCAAAATGCAGCTATTTGTATGTCGTACTACATGTTTTATTGTGTATTATTTATTTTTTTATTTTTTTAGTTTTCCAAGCATACTCATAAATATTAAAGCTTGTTTCCACCACTGAGTAAAACATAAAAAAGGAAATTGCAATTGCATATCTAGCATTTCTGACTTTTTTTCTCAGAATTGCATGTCTGTATGTCACAATTTTGACTTTATAACATGCAGTTTTGAAATATAAAGTCAGAATTGTGAGATATAAACTCGCAGTTGTAAGCAAATAGTATTTTTTCTCCCTCAGAATTGGAATTTGTTGGATTTTTTTAGTGCTGTCAAATGATTAATCGCGATTAATCGCATCCAAAATAAAAGTTTTTGTTTGCATAATATATGTGTGGGTGTTCTGTGTATATGTATTATGTATATATATAAATACACACACATACAGTATATATTTTGAAAATATGTACATGTATTTACATGTCTATATTTATATTCATATAATTTATATTTTAAAAAATATATTTAATATATAAACATAACATATTCTTCTGAAATATATACATGCATGTGTGTGTATTTATATATACATAATAAATATACACAGCACACATACATATATTATGTAAACACATTTTTTAAAATTTGGATGCGATTAATCACGATTAATCGTTTGACAACAATATATTCGCAAATATGAGAATAAATGTATATCTTGCAGTTCTGACTTTATAACTCACAATTGTGAGTTTATATGCAATTCTGAGAAAATAAGCACGAATTGTAAGAAAAAAGTTGTGAGAAAATAGAATTGTGGGGTATAAACTTGCAACTGTGAGAATAAAAGTCAGAATTGTCAGTTTATATCATGCAATTGCGAGAATTGCGAGAAAAAGTCAGAATTATGAGAGAAAAAGTTGCAATTACCTTTTTTTGTTAATTCAGCGGTGGAAACATGCTTCCACACATAGGTCTATAGAATGATGCATAAAAAAGATAAATATAGAAAAAAACTGTAAATAATAAATCAGCTGCAAAACGGGTTCCAAGTGATCAATGGCTTAAGGTGTTGCTTTTAAACCCATTGCACAGGTTCTGTGGGGATTCATGCAATGTAAGCAATGATGTGCATCCGAGTCCCTTTGTTTGAATGGCAACATTTTTATTCTAAAATCTTTATTTAAATATGGCAACCTGATCCCTTGTTCTCCGATATTTCTATGATTGAATGACTGACAGAGACCCATCCTCTATCTGCCAATCACTGTGGGCATAGCTTGATGACTTCATCCGTAGCAATGAGCTCAACCCCGCCCTTTCTCATAGTTTAAGATTTCTCCCATTCATTAGTTAAATTTGCTCTCAGCCGCTTTGTGAATAGGTTTGAAGAGGAATCTCTTACCTAAGAACTTTTACTGCTATTTAGGAGAACTCTTAGTTGTAAGACAAAATGTTTTGTGAATACGGCTGCAGATTTATGGGTCAGAGGTCTGTGAAAGCGAGTCGTTTATCTGAATGGCAGTTACTCAGGTTGCTTTGTTTCATTGGCAGTCATTTCCAAAACATTTCTTAAGCAAATCAATTGAGCCGTAAAGACTCGTTGAAGCAAAGAAAACACCTTTTGAAACAACAGAAGCCTATTTCCCACAGTTAAGAGCTTGCCCAAAAAAAATGGTGAAGCGTCCACTAAAATATAATAAAACGTTTGATATTTTGTCAAAAATACATGGCTACTTTTGAATGGCTGTGAATGGAGAGAGATGCTTTTCTGCACACATAGTAGCCTGTGCTAGCCAAACCCTGACCCCCTGTTGTCAATGTAATGTGGGTGTCTGCAGCAAGAAATGATTTTGCACCCTAGCTTTTATCCATTTAATAGATGAAATTATGGCATATCATGCCAGGTCTTTTTTCACATTTTAATAGATGTTTTTAAAAGCTGCGAAACGGTCTGACATTGATTTTAACACACATCACATCAATGAAAGGTGTAATTTCTATAAGGTTGCATAGAAATGTCTAAGTGCATCCATTCATAAAACATGAGCAGAACATAATTCTGTGTAAAATGTTCATAAATCTACTCTCAGATTAATTGCAGAGCGGTTTAACAGAGAAATATGTCCTGCTCGTGCTTCATGAATGAGGCTGAGTGTGTGTTATATCTGATCCTATGTACTTGTTTGGCATTGAAAGATCCACTTCTTATTACAAAGTAATAATAATTATGTTTGCACACAACCTTATGATCCATTTAGTCTTTAAATGCCAGTTTTTCTCCTGAAAATCTCTCTTAGAGTGGCTACTAAAATCTGAAACGAAAGCGATTATCTACATATCTGACACACTTTTGGCTCTAACATACCTGACCTCTTTAAAAACAGTGAAAGTAAGTCAGACTTAAAAGAAAACTACATGTGTCATTCCACTCATCTGGGAACTGAAACAAGGCCAGTAGGCCATTGCTTGTGGCTTTCATTTCATCTGAAATTAATGATTAGCTGCAAGCGAATCTGCTGGGACAGGGCCAATTTTATATTTTTTTCCTTCACAGGTCTCCTGGGAACATATGGAGAAACTTTGCATTTGACATGATAAAACAAATATGAGTATGATACTGTTGAAGTGACAGCTCACACACAGCTCTCTCACCTCGCTGCTGTATGTTTCCTTCTCATGATCCTTCAAGTAGTGTTGGAATATATACAGTAATATATACAGTAACGACAGACAAGTTCCCAAAAACCATAAACCTTTCCAAGTGATTTTAAACATTTAACTACAACATGAACATACAGTATACAAGTGGAAGTGTCTGAAAAAGGTGCCTTGAAAAATGTGTTCTTAGATAATAATAAGTTATATTTATTGAATTTTGAGATATAGGTTTGGGATTTATGTAAAATTCCAAGTTTATGGCATTAATTTAGTGTGTCACTGTAAAAAATCATTGTAATATTAATTCAATTCAAGTTTATTTGTATAGCGCTTTTCACGATACTCTTGACCTGGTAAGGACTCTAGCCGCTGCATTTTGGACCGACCACCTGTAGCTTGTTTATTGAAGATGCAGGATAATGGTAATGGTTAATGGTAAAATACTGTAAAAACCTGTCAATTGAATAATGGTAAGTTCCCTTACTCTATACAGTGAAAAACTGTAATAGATCTAATGGGGCGTTTCATGCAATTTTACAGAAAAATACTGTTAAATGTACAGTACAAGTGAAAAAGAAGAAGACATCTCATAATTTACAATTGACATTCCCAGAATTCTCTTTGGCAGCTCACATTTGATGGCTTTTCATTGAAATAACAATGTTTCTGTCTGCTTTTCTTATCAGTTATGTACATTATGTCACATCTTATGTTACATTATTTATTGGAGTATTTTACTGTCATGTGTGCTATCATGATGGTGTTTTGTGTTTGTGTGCATGGCACAGTGTGCTCCTATATATTAGTATTTACTTCAGCTTGTGGAACATCTAGTTGTGATGAACTTTGTGACCACCTGTGTTTTTATGCTGGTTGTAATTTGGTATATCAACATTTCAATTAAAGAAATGCATGTTTTCTACTGTCAAGTTGATTTCAACCTTTAAAATTGAGAGAGAAAAAAAAATCTGCTACCATTTTCTTTTCTCTTTTTTTTTATTTTTTTTTATTACAGTGCATTTCTGGCAGCCACAGCTGCCTTTCACTGAATGTGTGTCCCAGTTCACACAGGTTATTTATGCACTACTCTATGCTGTTTTTTAGTATAAATAGTGTGATTAGTGTTTTCACACTAAAAATTCCAAATAGAGAAAAAAAAAAAAAGTACTTAAATATATATGTGTGTGTGTCACAATTCACTCAGGGAGCAAGGAACGAGGAAACGAGGAGTACTTGAATAACAGTCTTTAATAATCCACAGGAAAACCGAGAACAAGGAGGACATTCAACAAGTAGACCCGACCAACAAGAACTGAAAGGACAGTGGTTCCCAAACCTGTCCTGGAGGACCCCCTGCCCTGCACATTTTGTATGTCTCCCTAATCAGACACACCCAATTTAGTTATTGCAGTCTCTACTAACGAGCTGATGAGTGGAATCAGGTGTGTTAGATAAGGGAGACATACAAAAGGTGCAGGGCAGGGGGGCCTCCAGGACAGGTTTGGGAACCACTACGGCATATAAAGGCAGGATAATTGGGGAGGAACGAGACACACCTGGAATAAAATTAACACAATCAACATGAGGAAGAAACTGGGTCACAGGGGCAAAAACACACACAGAATAGTCCATAATCCTGACAATATGGTCATGTCCCAAAATTGTACGTGTGAGTGCTTAGGAGTGGTTGGGTTGTAGCTTGTTGCTGCAGTAAACACTGTTGTTGTGTAGAATCACGACATGTTTGATATTTTGAACTGATCTTAAAACACATTAGCTGTGTCTCAATTAGAAGGCTGCGCCCTCCGGAGGTCGCATTCGAAGGCTGCATACGTCATCGAAGCTGTCTCATTTCAGAAAAGCAAGTAGGACACTCCGAATGCGACCTTCGAATGCGACCTTCTTTCACAGGAATTCGGAGGATGCATGAGGTGTATCCTTCGCTGCTACAGATAACCCACAATTCTTTGCGTCGCCGTAAACAACCGTTGTTAATTTGAAAAATGCCGGCGCCGGCAGATGTACACACAAGCGCAGATGTGGTGTTTACAACTTACCTTAAATCGC